GGAAAGCAGTGAACTTGGTTATAATGATAAAGTCCCAGTTGTTAAGCAGGGGTATCAAGAACGTCTTGATATTAGAAGCAAGGATAAAACAAAACAAAGCAAATAACCAAAACAAAACTAAAAGCAAGCTAAGCAAGACAAAATTCTTTTGTAAAAAAGAGAAAAAAATTTAGTTAAAAAATGTTAAAAAAAATTAAAAAAAAAAATTATTATAAAATTTAAAAAAGAAGAAAAAACAAATGTTCTCCCCTTTCTCTTCTTCCTAAGGAAAAAAGAGAAAAAATAAACATCCCATAAGCAAAAAACAAACAAAAAACCAAAACCAAACCAAAACAAAAAACAGAAGAAAAAAAAGTAGTCAATCAGATGAGTCTCTTCTGGGCAGCTTGTTGTCTGAGGCTCACTGTTTTTTGTGCTGATTTCTGTTCTCCTGGGAGGTGCTTGTGTATCACCCAATGTGAGGGGCGTCCAGGTTTGGCTCTGGTGTCCTTAGGTAGATGGTTGATCTGAGGCTCTCTGTGGACCACCTCCTCTTGTCAGCTATTTTGCAACCTTGTAGTTTCCTGGTCTTGCTCCAGAGCCTTCTGTAGAGCCTTTAGGGTGCAGGGTGGCTAGTGTAGCCCAGGGTGTCACTCCCCTTATAGGTTTTGCTGTCAGGCACTCACTCTGAGGGAGTTAGTCTCTGCTCCACAGCCAGCTCCTCAGTCCCCTGTCCTCTGATTCTAGGTCCCCAGGCTCTGTCCTGCTTCAGCTTCAGATTGATTTCAGCCTGTTGCCTTTTCTGTCTGGGCCATTTCAGCAGCCTGGGCTCAGTGGGTTCGATTAAGAACACATTCTGGTGGGCCCTTTGCCTGCCCAGCCCCCAGCAGGGGTTTCAGCGTTTCCTCCAGCTCCCAAAGGACAGCCCCTGAGAGTCTTATTCTTGCAAAGTCCTCCTATGAGCTGCTCTCCTTCCCCCTCAGGACTGTGCCCTGTGGGGGTGTCTGGGGCCTCAGTGAGCGGGACCCACCCGTTTCTTATTGAGGGCGGGGCTCCCAGCTGCAGGAGAGGCCGGCGGGCTCCGCCCCTCCCTGCCCAGCTCTGGTTGGCTGGTCACACCAGGCCCGCCCCTCAGACCGTCCACTGCGCAGACCCCACTCCCAGCCTCCGCTGCTCTGTCCCCCAGTGCAGGCCGGAAAGATGGGAGCCAGTTCCCCGATCAAACTCACAAACACTCAAAGCAACACGAAGGCAGAGAGTCCTCCCTGCAGGGTCCCGCCGCCCAAGCACCAAGGCGCCCAGCGGAGGGGACCCAAAGTCCGCTCCATGCAGCTCCCTGCCCCGCTGGTCTGAGCAAAGCTGGGGCGGCTTCATGTGCCACCACGGGGCCCCTCAGGGCTGGTCACAGCTCCCAGCCTCTCTGCACCCAGAGCTCAGGGCGGGAGGACACCCTCAGGGCTGGTCACAGCTCCCAGCCTCCCGGCACCAGGAGCTCAGGGCGGGAGGACACCCTCAGGGCTGGTCACAGATCCCGGCCTCTCTGCACCAGGAGCTCAGGGCGGGAGGACACCCTCAGGGCTGGTCACAGCTCCCAGCCTCCCGGCACCAGGAGCTCAGGGCGGGAGGACACCCTCAGGGCTGGTCACAGCTCCCAGCCTCCCGGCACCAGGAGCTCAGGGCGGGAGGACACCCTCAGGGCTGGTCACAGCTCCCAGCCTCCCGGCACCAGGAGCTCAGGGCGGGAGGACACCCTCAGGGCTGGTCACAGCTCCCAGCCTCCCGGCACCAGGAGCTCAGGGCGGGAGGACACCCTCAGGGCTGGTCACAGATCCCAGCCTCCCGGCACCGGAGCTCAGGGCGGGAGGGCTCCTCCCCTCCCCCGGGCCACGCAGACTCAGCGCTTTCTGGGGCTCAGCACAGTGCCCCACAAGGAGGCAGAGGGTCCCCGTGTGGGCTGCTCAGCGCAGTCCTCTGGTCCATTACCACTCAGGTGCCACAGGCCTTGGGACAGCCTTCCCTGTGGTCGGCACCCCGAGCACCGCACGCCGGCAGCAGCCGCCCCCAGAGGCTTTGTTTCCCAGGAAGGCCCCGCCCCTCCCCTCCCCTCCGGGACTCACCGCTCCCCGGGGTCCCTCTGCCCTGTGTGCGGGGCGCTCCTTCCCCTCTCTGCTCCGGGTGGGGATCCCCACTCTTGGAGGCCGTCCGCACTCCCCAGGGGAGGGAGCTTTGCCGCCTCCAGGCCTCCGGGCTCAGAGCCCAGCTCAGGCTTCAGGGGGCTCCCCCTTTTTACGCCCCCCTCTTACCGGACTCCGTGATGTCTCTTCAGTGCTCCCCACTCGCACTCCGTCCACTCCGGTACGTTTCTCTGGTTTTTCAAGCTGGTTACGGAGGATTTTAGGAGGAAATCGAGTCCGTGGCTGGGAGCGGGGCCTCTGCTGCTGCTCACAGGGCCACCAGCTTCCCCTCATCAAGGACATTTCTTGATTCATTTTCCTAGGTAATCGGTAGCCCTTTCAATCTGGAAGCTCATGTCCTTCAATTTTGAGATAGTGCCTTTAATTATTTCTAAAATAATTATTTTTATTTCTTTATTTTCTTTTTATAGAGTGCCTGCTTATTCTTGGTTTATAGATATTCTAATACTTTAATTCAGGCTAATGTCCCAATTCTTTTTCTCCCCTGTATTTGCAACCTATTTAGCTTTTTGTTTTACATTCTGGGGGACACCTCACCAACCTCCAGCCCTGGTGGTTTGTTTTCCATTTCAGGTATTTCACTTTTAATTTCCAACTCTACTTTATTATGCTCTAATGTAACATCAATTCTGGTTTCTCTGAGAATACTGAAGTTTGTTTTTAAATATGTTTTTCCTTCAGCTTATCTCCATTTCCTCCAACCCCATTTTGCTGTTAATCTTGACCTTTCAGAGTAAGGAGCCTTCTCACATGTGCAGTGATTTTTCTAATATTTAAGAATATTTAAGGATTGCACATAAACACATACACAAACTGTAGATGGATCTGTTGATCTTGCTTTGAAACAAATATGTAAATTTCTAAATAAAATATTACTGAATTAAATGCATAGCTTATTTTAATAGATACGTTAGGATGAAGTGGAATTTATCCCAGAAATGCAAGAATGGTTCTATATTATGAAAACAATATTCTCTAAGAAGAAAAATTATTTAATAATATCCATAGTTGCAGAAAAGTCATTGGACAAAAGTCAACACCAATTTATGCTAAAAAATTGCTTAATAAAATTGGAACTAATGGAAATGCACTTAATTGAATGACCTACATCTGCATATATGGTGCAGATGTGTAGAACAGCACTATGCTCCCTTGGGAAGCACCAGGGCCTTCCCCACAAGCCAGGAACAAGACAAAGGCACCCGCATCTCCTGTTACTTAACTTCATGCGGGAGGTTTAATCACTGTCGGTGAAACAAGAAAAAGCAAGTACGGGCATTTCTGAGGAACAGAGAGCTCGGAAAACACCACCCGAAAGTCCATTTCTAACATGCTCACCCCACTGACTGTGAAACACACACCAAGTTGTAGCGGTTGTGTACATGGGGTCTCGCATCCCTGGGTGTTCTGTGCATCCACAGAATAGGCGATGGGAGGTAACAGCTGGCTCTCACGAGCCGCGCACAGACGTGCAGGCGCTGGTCTCTGAGCTCCGGCTTGGACTGTGGTCACTGTCGTGTGGCACGCAGGGGGCTGGGAGTCCCTTTGCCCTGCCCTCAGCTCACACACATCCTGTTTCCCGTCTGAGTTGCGGCTTGGACACTCTTTGAGCAGCCCTGCATTGCTCATGAGCCAGTTTCTCAGAGTAGCTTCTACTCAAAATGATGGCTCCCCCCCCCGGGCCTCCTCCCTCAGAGCTGCGCTTTAGGCCAAAGTGACGAATCATTTGCTCTGAGTATTAAAAGCTGTGCTTCAATCCAGCCTTGGCCACTGGTTTGGCCAATGTCCTGACCAGGCAAACATGTTGACAGGTGCAGGGGAGCTTGATCTCTCCGCTCTTGGTAAGGAGTGCTGGGAGGCCAGCTGCCCGACCATTCAGCATCAGCACAGGAGGAACCAGTCCTGTCGGGGTTCAACCCCCTCCCTTGCCAGATGCCACAGCGGGTGTGCTCCAGGCAAGCACACGCTTTCCTCCGGCAGAGGTCTCGAGTGCTGGCCCCCTGCGTCCTTACCCCAGGAGCCGACAAGGACGCCTGGAAGTTCTTTGTACTCTTCTTTGGTCCTCGGAGCCGCCCTAAGCAGCCTGTTTTCCCCTGCAGGCCTCTGTCCTAGATAGTCCTAGTAAGGTGCCTCCCCAGGAAAGTGCCCTCGGCCTCCAAAACGTGCCTCGTCTGTCTCACTTCCAACAGGCGATTCCGAAGACAGAGCACAGTACCCGTCTCTGCCCCAGCCTTTCCCACCAGCCAGCTGTGTCCCTGGGTCATTCCCTGGACTTGCCATTTCTTAGTTGCTGGGTTTGGAATATGTGGGTAATAAGGTCTCTCTCTGCTTTAAGAGAGTGTAACTTTAATTTAACAAATGTTTCAGGTACATAATAGACATACATATATTTCTTTCTATATCTTAGAGTAGGTTATTTACTGATTTTCTGAAATGGATTCCACAGTTTAAGGGCATCTGAAGTCACAGAAGAGAAAGACTTTATTCCATCAATAAAAGTTATTCATTGGTTCTTGTTGGAAACTCTTGCATTTAAATTTAAATATATACACACTGATTAACCAGCATGTGCTGAGTATTGACTGACCTTGTAAGAGAGGGAAGGGGATTCTTCTTTTACTCCCAGGTGGGTTGTAAGACAAAGAAGGTAAGTACAAAGTAGTCTGATATTAAAAAAAAGATCAATGTAGGATGACCCATACCTTAGTCAAACAGGTGGGAATCTACACTGAGAATGGGGATTGGAGTCTTGAAATGAAACAGACATTGAGACATTTCAAAACTGAAGTCACTAGACCAATGGTTCATTAATATATTTTAAAGCATATTAATGCACATATTTAACATATTCAGTAAAAATGCGTTTGCTATATTTTAAAGCATACATAACAAAAGAGAAAAGCACGATTATTCTATGTATTAGCGACTATGATGATAGCAATAAAGTTTCTCCTGACCATATATTTTCACACATAAAACACATAATACAGTTCTACTTTTCTTAGTCATACAACTAGAACACAAAATTGTAAGCTCTACAAAAATTAAATCACTTTCTGATACCGAAAATCTAATGAAAATATCATTATTCCTTAATTTTCAGCAATGTGTACCACAGCTTTTTAAACAGTCTCTGGACTTTTACGGAACATCCACAGATGCTCTACCCAGCCTTCCAAACTTAGCCAACGCTCTCCTTTCTCTTTAAGGCTGATGTTTGTCACTCGCTTGGTGATTTCCTGGACAGACACTACCGCCGAGGCCACGGGAAAGCCCACAGTGTGGCGCACTTAGGGAGACAGACACGTCTCCCGACGTCAACCACCGCACATGCCCACGAAGAACTGCCTTGGCCCACTGGGTGCTTCTCCCGTACCCTTCCCCCTGTACCGAGTATAACTGCCTTCCCCCCTCCAGCCTCTTTCCTTCCCTGCTCTCTGGCTTCCACTTTACTCCACCTCTTAAATGCCGACCCAGCCCCGGCCGGGCGGCTCAGTACACCGAGAGGTTGCCGGTCCGATCCCTGGTTGGGGCGTGTACGAGAGGCAACCAACAGATTGATGTGTGTTTTTTCCATCTCTCTCCATTCCTCTCTCTCTAAATAATCAATAAAAACATACCCTTGTCAGTCATCTGAAATTCTTTTAACAACAAAGATAAATTTTAAAAAACAAACAAAAAACATGTCCTCATGAGGATTAAAAAAATCGGTCTAAGTAATAATTAATAACAATAATAATAGTAATAAAAATACCTACAGAATGTTAAGTCCGGGTCAAGAACTGTTGTAAGTACTTTTAAAAATTCTTTTAGTGCCCCTGCGAAGTATAATTGTTACATATTCTAATTTTACAGACGAGGAAACCAAGGCACAGATCCATTAGAAGAGGTTCCGGAGGTCACAGGCGCAAGTAGCAAAGCGGGGATTTGAGCTCACGCACCTTGGCTGCACAGCTCAGACCCTAACACCCATGCCATGCCCTCCCACCCTGCAGGCATTTTAAATATGCAACTTTTTACAAATCAAGCAACTATCATTTTTCATTGCTTAATGGCTAATATGATCTGGCACCCATCCGCTATATAAGTATTTATTTAGAATCAACAAATATTTTTGACCAATTTTGAAAGATCTAGAGAATGATTTGGATTAAAATTTGTGTTTATCATGAAAGACACAAAGTTGCTTCGGGTTGCTTTTAAGAAGTTCCCACAAATAGGCTCAATTGAGCAGGCCCTGTGCAGTGTCTCAGTAGCGTTCCAAGAACCACGGGCCCACAATGGCGGCGGGCAGGCCAGGTCATGTTATAATAACCGGGTGCAGACCTCGCCCCTACCCTGCATGCAGCCCTGCAGCAGTCTCCCTTGTCCAGGGACTGTCACCGTGTTTAGAGGTGTCAGCACCATGCCAGTTTCTGTGTCACCTACTGGCTCACAGAAAATGCCACTTCATAAACTTAAAATCCTTTAGTTCAATTGTTAGCATTAAAAACCTAAAGATGTGCCCTTTTTGTAAGGCATAATTCCCAGCCTCATATCCAGTGTGGAAGAAGGAGAAACAGGAGACCCATTTCTGTAAAATTCCAGGGTCCTCCGGGACACAAGCACAGCTCAGTGTTCAGTCCTGTCCCTGGCGGCCTGATGATGCTTCGTCTTCAGACTGGGCATACAATTTCCAGAGTGAAATATCTGAATAAAGCCCTTGGTTATAAGCAGGCTCATCCTCTCAGTCTCCAGAGCCTCAGGTCTCTTTCTCACACTCAGCTTTCTGAAGATCGGGACCCGGCAAGCACAGGCGTGGCTTCGGATCCATCTCTACAGGGCTTGACCATTTTTGCAGGCATCAGATAGAGAAGATTTTTCCAGAACCTGGAGTTATGTGAGACAGATTTGTCAGCCTTCCACTTCAGGACTCGGTGAGATTTCAGAAGCTTCAGCGACTGGGGCAAGAATGTGAAGTCACTGACGGGTGTAAATTCAATTAAGATTATTTTAATTTTCCTCTCCACCAGTGCTTCATGAAGGCCACTTTCAAGTTCATACCTGACTTCATTAGACACATAGCTTTCACTTAGGACGATGATCAGTCTTCGGCTTTGCTCTATCAATGAATGGATTTCATCAACAACAGCTGAAAATGCAAGATGTGGAATATTAATTAAGAGAACTGGAAGGGTGAGCATGAGATAAAAATCATTCTACAGTCTAATTTCGTATTAATTCTGAAGTTCATAAGTACATTTTTCTTTAAGACAAACATTTATTCAAAATTGTATATGCTTATTAAAAATACCTAGCTAACAATAATACTTGCTTATCACGTACTCTGTGCCACGCCCTTTCCTGAACGTTTCATGTGTATTAACTCATCTGGTCATCACAACGACCCTATAAGAAAGTATCACCCCTGTTTTACAGGTGAAGCCAAAGCACTGAGTGGCTGAGTAACTTGCCCGGAGTCACACAGCTAGTAAACGGCAGCAGCGGAATCTGAGCCCAAGAGGCCTGGTCCCGGAGGACTTGTTTCTATCGCACTGTCGGCCTCTCCGCACGCGGGCCTTTGCCCAGCTGCCGAGAACGCGAAGCGCGGCGAGCGGGCGGGGCCTGGGGCGGCGCTGCGGGACCAGCAGCTTGTTCTCTCGCTGCTCATTAGTGACTTAGCGGGTTATTTCTGACAAGACGACCACGTTTAATTGTTTGTTTTTAAGCAGAACAGAGTTACTTAAGCTATTCATCTTATAGAACTGTCTCCACTAGTTTCGCACCTGGCGTTCCTTTTCTTACCTCCTCCGGGCACGACATCCCTTTCGAATATGCATAACTTATACCCAAAACGCCTCTCCAACACCCCGGGCAGCGTCTCCACCGCGAAGGCGTGCTCCTCCCCATTCTCAGGTCGACATTCTTTCAGGTAAGACACAAAGGCATCGTATGTCTTTCCATCTAGGAGACAAGGTTTGTTCCTTTAATTAGGATGTAAATAAAAGTTTAAATTCAAATTTGAATAAAGTCACCAAAAACCACAATGTAAATTACTGAAAAAGTAAGAGTTAAATATGTCTTCCTTGTGTCCACACTCATCAAACCGTGCACATTAAAAATGTGCAGTTCTTTGTGTATTGATTATACCTGGATGAAGCTGTCAAAAAATAAAGAATATTTTTGAGAGGAAACAAATTGAAAAACAAAACAAGAACGTGCAGGTAATTCCTAAGGGCCCTCAAATATTCCTCTGTTTCACTACCCTTTTTTATGCATTATTCTGTATCTCTGAATTTTTAAATGTCAAAAACCAGGAATAACTTCCATTATTATTAAAGACAAAACGTAGCCCTGGCCGGCGTGGCTGGTGGTCAGAGCGCCGGCCTGCGCTCTGCAGGGTCTCGGTTCTGCTCCCGGTGAAGGGCCCTCACCTGCTCTGCAGGCCAACCCCCGCCCCGCCTGGGGTGCACGCGGGAGGCAGCCAAGGCCCGAGTCTCCCTCGCATCCATGTTTCTCTCGCCGTCTCTCTCAGCTCTCTCCCTTCCACTCTCCCTGAAATTCAATGGAAACAATATCCTCACTCCTCGGGTGATGATTAAAAAAGGAGACAAAAAATACCATCCTCAAAGCTCGTATGATCATCGAGCAACCAGTTAGCAGACGCCCTTGCTTTTAAGCATGTACATTAAGACTCCCACTGTCTGACACCACAGAGACACAGCGAGAAACGTAAGTCACAGGTCTGAGGAGTGAAGGAGTTTAAAGATGACAGGGGCCCAAGTAGCCCAAACATGTCCTCGGGCTGGGGTTGGAAAGTAAGTCTCCCCTTGGCTTATTCTACTTACATCATTTAATTCTACCACCATCCCAATGTAGACCTTCAAAAGGACCCCTGGAAAGTGATGATAAAGTTGGTGGGTACAAGACAGTCACAGGGTATCAGGTACAGCCCAGGGAACAGTCAACAATACTGCAATAGCTGTGCAGGTGCCAGGCGGGAACTTGGAATACCGGGGACCGTGTCGTAAAGCATGGGATTGTCTAACCACTATGCTGTGCACCTAAAGCTAGTACAAACACTGAATGTAAACTACAATTAGAAAATCAAATTTTGCCCAGCCGGGTGTGGCTCAGCGGCTGAGCGTCGACCTAGGATCCAGGCAATCAGGGTTCGATTCCCGGTCGGGGCACATGCCCGGGTTGCGGGCTCGATCAATGACTCTCTCATCATTGATGTTTCTATCTCTGTCTCTCCCTCTATCTTCCTCTCTCTGAAATCAATAAAGATATATTTAAAAAAATAAAATAAAATAAAATTTCCATTTAAAAACACCATGCTGAGCATTTCCGCTGGGGAGCGGGAGGACACAGTAGAGGGGATGGAAGGAACACGCTGCTGGTCCACGCGCTGTGCCGTGTTAGAACGCCACATGCCACTGAGTGCCAACACAGGACCTCCCGCGCCCGGAGAGCTCAGCGTGGACGGTAACCTGCGCTCCCACCTCCTCCTCGTAATGAAGCCGTCTTCAGTTTCTGGTGGCCAAAGGACAAATGTAAAGGAATGGGTTCCTTACGTAACAGAAGCCGTTCTACTAACTGGGCTACTAAAAAATTACATACATTTCTCTCTTCAACCTTCAGTCCTTTTGAGAAGAGTTAGCAGACAAATGCAATGACTTGAAAAGTTTACAAATAACATACTGGCAGACACAAGAAAGTGTAACACAAACAAAACAAAATCATCTGGTCAGAGAGAAGGAGTCATCTCGGACGTGCTCCCTGGAGGAAGGAACTGAGTCGGGTCCTCGGGGATACAACATATGCTCGGGGACAGCGGAGGAGGGAGGGGCTGTGGCCGTGGCAGCTGCTTAGGGGCACAGGAGTGACGTTTGTGCTTGGTCTTAACTGGGATTCATCAACTTGCTAGTGAGCTGAAGGCTAAATAGGATTGGCTCCTTTATTAAAATTTAATAGGATGGAACCATTCTAAGCCCATGTTCTTTGTGGTGTCACATCATTTATGCTCAACAGCAGGCCCCATTTCTTTAACAGCATCCATGTTCACAAAACAACACTGTGTTTCAGGCAAAAGCTGCTTCAGCTCCACCTACAGCGCTCCGGTCCACAGCTGCGCCTGCAGCTCTGGTTCCAAGTCCCACCGACGCCACTCTGGTTCTGCAGTTTCAATCGGAACCTGTTGCTGACGTAGAGCAACTGCTTTGCAGAATTGCGCGCATGTGAATGATAGGACATTTTGGTCAAAAATGCAAAGTTAACATGCATATCAAAGGTAAATTAAAAGTTAGTACAAATAAAACCAGTTCTTAATACAATAAATAAGTGGACCCCTGGATAATTCTGTTAGATGCTGGGACACATAGCTGTTTATTTGTACAGGAGCTAATCTCCCATTAGTACAGTCATCATGTCTGAGTGAATCAGGCACCAAGAGGTAAGAAATAAATGAGTACGCTTTTTGAAAAGGTATATTTTTCTCATAATCAGAATGTAACTAATTGCAATGAATTGGATAGATAATTCAGTCAAATTTATATTGTGATATACATGTGATATGGCTTTATTCTTACCCATGAAAAATTAGTTTTTCAACTATTAATTAGCTTTCAAATTCATTTTTTAAGCAGTTCTCCTCTTGGTTTAGCAAATATGCTAATTTATATTACAATTTATTTTTCAACCCAAGTAATGGCAAAGTGAAGTGCCCAAGATAAGTAATTTGAAAGCTAATAATTTCTTTTTTTGGTTCTGTGTAAATGAAACCAACATTTGAATGGATACTTGGGACAGCAAAGTGCCAGTTAGAATAGTGCTTCTTAGACAAACTGGTGGCAAATGGCCATGTTTTAACTTAATTTCAGTGTTTTTGGTTGATTGGCTTATTTCTTTTCTTTTTAATCTTTAACAGAGGATATTTTTTTCCATTGCCTTTCAGAGAGAGAGGGAGGGAGAGAGAGAAACATCGATATGAGAGAGAAACATCGATGTGGGAGAGAAACATCAATTGGTTGCCTCCCGCACGTGGACCGACAGGGGCCGGGGATGGAACCTGCAACCCGGGTATGTGCCCTGGACTGGAATTGAACCCGAGACCCTTCAGTCCATGAGCCGACGGTCTAGACACTGAGCCAAGCTGGCCAGGGCGATTGGCTTCTTTCATTTCCAATCATTCATAAACCAGTAACAGAACACATTCTTTGATAGTGCAGCAATATAAAATTACTATAATGTGAACGTTTTAATTTTTATACTTGTATCTCCATTTTTACTTCTCACGACTGATTTGCATTAATGGACCACACTCTAAGCAGAGCTGCTGCGGAGCACATTTCTAAATGCCTCTGTGCACAGCCACACTGAGAACTAAGAAATGTGAATTTTAAGAAATTATCTGAGCATTGGGTCAAACACAACTAGAGGGGTAAATAAAACCTTAATTGAAAATCAAAAAGAGATTAGTGAATGCCTATTCTGAGATATGTACTGGTCTGTGCAGGTAGAGACCTGGCAACACAATATAAAAAAGAGACCCCCGCCCTTCAGCCCTGGCCTGGTGGCTCAGTTGGTCAGAGCATTGTCCCACGCACCAAAAAGTTGCAGGTTCGATCCCCGGTCTGAGCATGTACATGAGGCAACCGATCGATGTTTCTCTCCCTAAAAAAATCAATGAAAACATCCTCAGGCAAGCATTAAAAAAAAGCAGTCCCCCCCTCCCAGTTTGTTGGAGCACCGCTCTCCACAGAAAAATCACACACACATGCAGATTGGCAGCTAAATTAACTCTGCTAATTTTATATTAGTAAATTAAAAGTTGTAAATGTGAATAATCAATCTATAAAAATCTCAAAAAAAATATAAGAATTCCCTTATAACTTGAGCTTAGGAGGGCCTTTCTACTATGACCACAAATCCAGAAACCATAAAAGAAAGAATACATTTAAATACATTGGGGAATCTTCCATGTAAGCAAAGACAAAAGACAAATGACATCCTGGGAACAATATTTGCATTTCATATTATAGACAGTAGGCTAACCTCCTTAAAATGTACATTGCTCCTAGAAATAACCAAAAAAGAAAAAAAAAAAAGCCAACAACCCAATAGAAAATGGGCAAAGGAAATGAATGGGTACTTTGAGAAAGGAAATAGAAATGACTCTTTAACAAATAAAAGTTGCTCATGCTCTGGCATAGTAAGTGAAATGCAAATGAAAATGACATTGAGATACAACTGTTCCCCTATCAGACTGGCAGATACCCGAAAGGTTGTGGGTAAGGCCATGGGGAGAAGTTACTCCCCCCCGTGAGGGCAGTGGGCAGTAGGGAGGGCCGGTCGGCAACAGCTGTCAAAATTACAGCTGCTCCTGTGCTTTGCATTTCCAGCCAGTCCACGGGGGGAACTTTCCCTCCAATCACACTGCTCGCATATGAAGTAAAGACAGGACAGAGCTACACGTCACATCCTCTCTGTAATAACACAAGGCTGTAAGCAACCAGAATGTCCATCAAAAGGTGACTAAATAAGCAGTGGCACCTCCACAGAAATAGGACTCTAGGATTTTATTTCTATGGATAAAAAATGAGAGACTTTATAAACTAATATGGCAGGATATCTGAAGAAGAGAAAAAGCACAGTTCAGAAGAGTGTGCACTATACAAGAAGATCTGTTTCTGAAACAGAAGCAGAGTAAGAGGCATCTTTGTTTAGTTATCCTCTCGGGGGGGATAAGCTGGGAAGCTGGCATGGGCAGGCTGGGGGGCAGCTTTCACTGTGTAACCTCTTAGGCTGTGCTTCGATATGTGTGTCCCACACACACACACACACACACACTCACACATGAAAACAAAAGCAAGCACAATGCATCAGGCTGATTTTTAAATTCAGTAATTACATGGAACCTTGAGAATTTCTAGCCAACCTTAAGAACAGGGGAACTGAGACACGGAGTCACCAAGTAGAAATAGGTAAACGCTGGCCGGCCTAGCGGACTGGAATCCGTCCTTGGGCTCCTGGTCCATGATTCATCCCGGTACCTCGGGCAGCCTCCTTTGCCAGGTGAGAATAATGAACCATGATACAATTCAGTTCCACTTAAATGACCTTTATTGAGTGAGCGCACAGCAGAAGGTGCCCAGGTGGTGTGCAAACTGAGCCACTGGGACCAAGCATCTCATGGGCACGTACAAGACAGGACACACATATGTGAAACAATTAGAGAACAATTTTTGGCAACATGTAAGTACAAAAAAAGGTGGTGCAGACAACACTCACAGGGGACGATGCGTTCAGAGCCACCTTTCCTGTGGAAAACCCTACCACACATTCAGTCAACAATATCATCAAAATAAGATGAAGATTAGTGCTTCTTTATTAGGCTTCCCAATAAAACCATAGGATAAGAAATCCCGACATTACGGTATTTGTTACCTGTTAACGTTTCATCTCTTCCCATGAACTGTCTATAAAACAGAGCCAAGTCAATTCTATAAATGACACCCACAGTCACTAGGCACACGACTATCCCTGAGGTCAGAACAGCTATGATCATTCCTCTGGTGAACACGTGGCCTGGGATATCAACCAGGTCTTCTAGAAAGAAAAAGGAAACGGGAAGAATTAATCAATGAGATTTAATGCCTGTGCCACCATCATTCTGCCACGCCCGTTTTTGCCATTGATACCGACCCAGTTGTCTGCCCAACACGTTCCACTGGGTTACTCCATATCCCGCCTTTCGTTTGGAGCGATGACCTTTCTACTCCCATTTTTAAAATAAAAATGTATACAAGGACATCCAGAGCCCTGAACTGAAGCCTTGCATGCAGCCCATCCCTGCCTGTGGAAGGCAGAGCTCTAAGGGGTATAAAAAGCCAGGGTGAGACACAGAGGGAGCCAAGCACAAGTGTCTGAGAGCGGTTGTGAACACACACGGAGGCGATAGGCTTGAGAAAGCAAGCACTCAGCTGAGACCATCCGGCTCCCAGCCCGGCTCTGCCACTTACTTTGTGTCCTAGGAAATGTCACTGATGCCCTTAACTCTTAGTACCTTAATCTGCAATAGGGAGCTAATGATAATTTCTGCTTCACTTACAGGGCTGCTTTTTGAGGGGAGATTAGATGAGATATTGCACATCAGTAGTTAAGGTAGCATTTGGCACACAGCTCTGAATTTCAGCACGTTTTATAAAAGTGCCCTTTGTGGAAAGATTACATTTCTTAGATTGATTCAGTTTATGCTCACTACGGAAAATATGAAATAATATGAAAGAGTAAAAATGATGAAATAATTTTTAACCATCCCACACTGTGGTAATGGGCATGCTAACATGCTAGTATATTTCCTTTGGGGTTTTTTCCCCCCTAAAACTACTGACTTAATTGGGATCATATGATAATCACTCTTTCCTGCATCACGCTGTATTATGAGCAGTTCACTGCATCTTCATAACTATAATTCACAATATCCCAATATTTAATTGATCATAACTTTTTTAAGTGTGCATAATTTTTATAAGTATGCTCATGCAATGAACACGTGCGTAACCTCTAAGCGTGCGTCTGATTACCCTCCCAGAGTAGATTCTAAAGGTCGAGGGGTTTCTAGGCCAAAGAGTATAAACATGCATGAAGTTCTCGACATCTTGGCACACACTTAGGAGTGATCTTTCCAGTAAAAGTAACTACTAGGTATAAGTGAGCAACCACATCTACTTACTAAGTGAACTCTGAACAAAGCCAGACCCTGGTTCCTGCAGCTTTGAAAGGCCTGCGTGTCCGCGAGTGCCACAGACACTTCTGCACCGGCGCGCACACTCCTGGGCGGGGGATGGTGGAGTGGAGGGCCCTAGACCCCAGTGACATTTGTGGGCATAGCAGAGGGGGAATGATCAGGGAGAAACTTCTATGGCAGGGGTAGGACAGTCAAGCCCTAATCTAAGAGGAGAGAGGTGGCTGGGGGCGAGCGGTCACTGCGAGTCCAGGCAAGGCGATGGACCAAACGAACAAGCCTCTCCCTCACATGCTCGCGGGCCAAGTATGAATGTCCACGCGAGGTGGAGAACACCTGTGACAATTCCTAGGGAGGACAAGATCACCGAGTAAATCAGTTAATTTCAGAGTTGATCAGGTCTGAGTTTTGATATCCTTACTTGTGTGACGTGGGGTGAGTTTCTTCACCTATAAAGTTTGTTGTAAAGATCAGGTTAAATAATGGTAAGAGCTTAGCACGGAGCTTACCATACAACAAGCACATAAAGAACATTGGCTCTTATCATTAGTGCGCGTGGTGGACAGACAGAGCCTCGGACGGGCAACCAGGGCATCTCACCTGCAGAGGGGCCTCTGGCCTGGGTCGTCCCTCCCTCAGTCCGTGGGTTTCTCACAGAGCCCAGCACAACAGCCCCTCATCTCGATTCCTTCGCCTGTGCACCGTCTGGGGCCCTGCCCGCCCGATTCCTTCGCCTGTGCACCGTCTGGGGCCCTGCCCGCCCGANCTCATCTCGATTCCTTCTCCTGTGCACCGTCTGGGGCCCTGCCCGCCCGATTCCTTCGCCCGTGCACCGTCTGGGGCCCTGCCCGCCCGATTCCTTCGCCCGTGCACCGTCTGGGGCCCTGCCCGCCCGATTCCTTCGCCCGTGCACCGTCTGGGGCCCTGCCCGCCCGATTCCTTCGCCCGTGCACCGTCTGGGGCCCTGCCCGCCCGATTCCTTCGCCCGTGCACCGTCTGGGGCCCTGCCCGCCCGATTCCTTCGCCCGTGCACCGTCTGGGGCCCTGCCCGCCCGATTCCTTCGCCTGTGCACCGTCTGGGGCCCTGCCTGCCCGTGGCGTCCGCGGCGGCCCCGCCTGGAGCGGGCAGTGGGTTGCGGGCTCCTGGGCCCGGACGCAGCCGGTTCCCGCAGGCGCTGGGCTGAGGGCTCCGGGCCGCACTGTTAGTGGAGGGCGAGGGCGGGCGACTCTAGAAAGCTCCACAGGTCTACGCCGAGAGCGTTAGGAGCCCTCTGATCAGAGCCATCAATTGTCCACTTGCCAAGCTCAGGGACGAGCCAAAGGAGGGAGGCCCCCGCTAGTTACGGAAGGACCGGCCACACCCCGGGCCGCTGGGCCCAGTGCCACTGGGCGGGCTGGGGGCCCACGACTCCCAGGACCACGGCAGCGTCTACACTGGCTGCCTCCAGTGTCCTGGGGGTGCCAGAGCTCCCTGCTGCCTCCTCCCTGACCCTCGCCCGCCAGCACCTCCGGCCCCAAAGTCGACCGGCTCTGCCCTGGGCCCGGCTCCTGCAGAGGAGGAGTGTGCTGGGGGCAGGAGGCCGCCCCTCCCGAGCCTGCTCCCCGCTGTGCAGCCTCCGAGCAGCCCCCCAGCAGCCACCTTCGAAATTCCCACAGACTCCAAGAAGAAAACTTTCCCAAACCTTTTTTCAACAAGATGAAGCTTTTGGTGTCCGGGCCTTTCTCACTGGACACAGTGCAATTATATAAAAAATTCAGATTATTTTCATTAATGTTCTCAATTCTCAATATCCTGGAAGCGCGCCATTTGCCTTCTGAGGTCCTGTAAGAAAGGAGAGTAGTTCAGCCGTCGGGCGTCGGCTGCCAGCAGCGTCCCAAGCGAGGGGCGAAGGTGGCAGCTCTGCTGGCTCATCGGGCTCCCTCCCTGTGGGACTCAGCGGGGCCTCAGGGAACCTCCCAATCCCGCAGAAGCCGGGCCAGCAGGGGGCATGGTCAGCAGCCACCTAGAGTTAAATGTGGGGAAGGAATTGGTGCTAAGCTGAAAATACAAGGAAACATCCCCCCTGAATTGCCTCTCCTCTCTCTCCTCTCCCAGCTCCTCAGTGCCCCTCCTCCGGGGAGGCCTCCGGCCACGGTGAGAAGGCTGCCGGGTGTTCAGCACAGGCCGGCTCACATCAAGTGTGTCCGTGCGAGCCTGAAGATCACTTTATTCTGTTCAGCATTTAAACACATTTTCAAACAACATTATTCTCAGGTGCCCGCCAGGAAGACGAGAAACACTAATTAGGTTGTTCAGTGAGAGTCAGAAAATGCCCTGCGACAGCCCCCGGGAGCACGTTTCCTTTCTCTTCCTAAAGGGCTCATGCTGTCCTGTCATCAAACGCAAGGCAAACGCCAGTGACATCCGCTTCCCTCCAGTGACAGGCTCTGACCACACAGTGCCACCCAGCGCTTCTAGGCACAGTCACGCACCTGACATCCCCAGCAGCAGGTGTCTCTCGTACCCGGGACATGTGCCTGCTGTAGCCTCCAACTGTCTCAAATGCATTTAGAACATTATTCTGAACAGGAGCCACCAGTACAGAAATGTCAGCTCTGTAACCACCGAACCGCCCAGTGAGGCGCACAAGGCCACTGAGAAACCAAAACAAATGACATGAAAAGCTCGAAACCAACAATAAAAAAGACCCCCTCGCTCTCTGAGCTCAGCTTAAGCTTCGTTTTTAATAAGCTGGGAGGTGGGTCTTCTACCTCTCAGAAGATGAGGGAGGGAGCCCTGGGCGGGGGCCGCGGGAATGAGGGCCTCCTGCGGGACAGACGCGGGGGACGCACAGTGGCGGCGGAGCCACGGGGCTGCAGAACCAGCCCCCGGAGCCAGCTCGCGGGCAGCAGCCTGTGAGCGTCGGCAAGGAGCTTGTCGACGGTGCAGCTGCGCCCAGAGGCCTCTCCGGCCCACTGCTCACTAGAACCCGGGTGTCCCTGCACTGATTGCAGCAGTGACCCAGAGTCATTCAGAGACACGCCAGTGGCCACACACGTAGCTTGTTTTGTTTTATTAAGTCTGGCCACTCTTTCAAGAAAGAATACAGGTTATTCAAGTATTAATACATGTTATTTGGAACGTTTTGCACCAACGTTGCCTCCTAGATATTTATATCTAATAATTGTCCCGAGTGCTTTTTCTACATGTTCTCATAGTGTTTCTAATTTCCATGAATGGGCTCTGACAAGAAACTGCTGCAATAATTACTATGCTCAATGTCAATCCAGGTGACTGCAAATATAAATTAGTATTTGCTTGAGACAATCTCTGGAAACCCTTCCATACTTGATAAAATTCCTCAATGCTCTTTTAATTACTTTAAGAACGATTATCACTGTAAAGAATGTTCTGATAGGAAGCTACAAACTATCTCTAAAGAGCAGGAGCCAGTGCCTATGTCAGTGTATCTCTTGCCCATAAAGAAATTCCCCAAACACACACATCACTGCATTCGAATGATATTTCCTTCTTTGTGATTTTCAGCATGTCTCAAGTATCTCATAATGAATGATTTTCAACAATCAGAAAAAAGAAAGGCAGGTGTGAGGACAGGATAAGATCCAGACAGGCAGCAAGAGACGGCCGGCCTGTGGCCTCGGCTGCACCCAGGCCCTGCAGGCAGAGCTGCTGCTGAGCGATCTGCACCCCAGAGGCCGGCCGGTCTCACGGAGATGCGTGCGCAACACAGCTGAGGACACCTATTGTACACAAGGGTCCAAATTAACTTACGCACGTCACAGGCCCCTGACCTGGTCTTTACTCTGGCGCATTAGTAAAAATAAAGCACTTAACAGAATATTCAAAACCCAAACATCTCACTCCTTTATCAGATGCTTAGACACAACCTCCATCCCCACCAGACCCTGACTAACCAAAACCTGCTTCTGCAAGGTGATGCTGAAGAGCCTCATTGGCTTTCTTTAGTTTAGATTTCAACAATGAACTTCTACACAATCCATCAACATAGAGTATGAGAATTATTATTATAAACTATATAAATTATTATCATAATTTATACTTGTGCCTAACATTCCCATAGCTATTCAGGAGTCTGGAGTTTCTGTATCAGGTATATCTCACACAATAACACTTATCTATGTTATTATATGTATCATAATCACATGTGCATACTTCACTTTTATCTCTTCCCCTTCCTGCACATTAGGGTCTTCCCCGTTGTCCTTGCGGAAGTTCCAGTAGATGTGGTCCTTCTCATTCAGCCAAGCAGAGCAGTTGAGCTGTACATTTTTTCCTAGGTGAAAGTAGACAACCAAAGTTCTGATTTTATTTTTTGTATGTTTTTATTGATTTTAGAGAGAGAGGAAGGAAGAGGGAGAGGGAGAGAGAGAGAGAAACATCTATTGGTTGCCTTTAGTAAGCACCCCACCCGGGGACTGAACTTGCAACCTAGGCATGTTCCATGACCGGGAATTGAACTGGTGACCTTATGGGACAACACTCAACTGACTGAGCCACACCAGCCAGGGACCAAAATTCTGATTTTAGAAACTCACTAATTTTTTTTTTTTTAGAGAGAGTGGAAGGGAGGGAGAGACAAAGAGAAACATCGATGTGAGAGAGACACATTGATCGGTTGCCTCCCACACATGCCCCAACCGGGGCTAGGGATCGAACCTGCAACCCAGGTATGTGCCCTTGACTGAGAATTGAACCTATGACCCTTTGGTGTGTGGGCCAGTGCTCTAACCACTGAGTAATACAGGCCAGGGACAAAGTTCTGATTTTAGAAACTCGGATTTCCCAAAGTTTCAATATAACCAATATATGATTATCTAATATATAATGCTAATGTAGCTCTACACTCCAGAAAGAAAACAGGTATGCTTTGTTTTAAATATTAAAAATTATATAAAGCATAAAAATTAGGTATCAGTTATAATTCATTAAAATATGAATTGGCTTCTCTTCAGATGTTTATGTTTAAATAAATTATTAAAACAGAGGGTAGCCAGTGAACTTTCTTTTCAACATACAATTCAGCAGGTAGTGTCAAACAACACTCTCACTGCAACTTCTAGAAAAACAAAGTGGATAAGTCACAAAAATTAAATTAAGTTAGCTAAAAATTAAAGACACTCAAGTGCAGGGGGAAAAAGAGACAGTTGAACAGAAAGGCAACAAGGACAAAACCTTTCTGGGTGAGCTGAGATAGCCAGCCGTTTTATTCCTTGGAGGAATTTTCTTTGGTTTGAACCATACAGAGGGAATCTCAAAAAGTAAAGAGAGTCCCTGGAGATTTGACAAGCCACATGGGCTTGCAGGACTATTGCTAAGGACTTGGGCAGCACAGGAGGCTGCTCAAAGGCTTAACAACTCCTCCTCCAGTCTCATGGTACTTGAGAGTAAGACCACGAGGAAAAGGCCTGCAGCAAACACGGGACTGCAGCCTCCTTCCAGCTCTCACAGATGCAGGGCAGAGCCATTCTAGCAAAACTGTGTTCTATCGGCCACCCAACTCGGTGCCTAAATGGATTGAGATGATCAATTCCTCACACTATTTGCCTAACACAGGAAAGGCAAACACTCTTTAAAAAATAAGAGTGAAATAAGCCAGTCAGAGAAAGACAAATGCCATATGATCTCACTTATATGTGGAATCTAATGAACAAAATAAACTGACAAACAAAATAGAACCAGAGGCCTGGAGACATGGAGGAGGCTGACAGATCTCAGAGGGAGGGGGTGAGGGGAACTAGGAGAGATTATTAGCCAAATAACATACATGCACAGGCCAGGGGCACAGACGACAAGCTGGTTAAGGCCGGGGGTGGGGTGCCGGGTGCCGGGTGGAGGGAGGCAAAAGGGGGGCACGGGGACATCGGTAATACTGTCAATAATAACAAATGAAACAATACAAACTTTGTTCATTTTGGTTGTTTTAGATACACAAAGATTGGCAACAACAACAGAAAAGTAAGAAACATGCAGAGACAGAAGTGGGAACAATAATCAATAGAAAAAATTGATAATAGAAGCAGACCCACAGATGATCCGGGTGCTTGATTCAGCAGATAAAGGGTTTGTAACAATGATTATAAACAGAGAAAACAGAGGAAAAGAGGAGCAAGTAGATGAAAAGACAAACATTTTCACAAAGAACAGTCATCTGTTTAAACAGAATCAAATGAACATTCAACTAAAAAACATGTAAATTTAAGGGCTTGATGGTCCTTCACAGCAGATCAGGCATAAAAGCAAGCAGAATAGTTGAGCTTTAATTTAGGCGACGGTGAAAACTAAAGCCCAGAGGGAAGGGAAGGAGGTGACAGAACAGAGCATCGGGAGCCTGTGGAGCACAGTTAATATGTAGAGTTGGAGATCCAGAAGGAGAGAGAGGAAACAGTGAGACAACGGCAGAGGATTTCCCAAATATTGATTAAATACATGAACCCACAGACTGAAGAAGCTCAGTGGAACCCAAAGTCCGATACATGAGAGCAGATCACACATGGACACGTCAAAATTGAAGAGGAAGAAAAAGCTTTGAAAGCAACCAGAAGAGAAAGACACCAAAGTAGCAACAATAACCAAAGGCTACCTTTTCAACAGAAACTTTGGAAACCAGGGCATTTTTACAGCTTAGGGTAAAAAGTGCCAACATAGAATTATTGAAATTATTGAAGAAAATAGTCTTTAAAACTGGATGTAAATGAAGATATTTCAGGGTAAACTGCAGCTGAAAGAAAGTGCTGCTTATGTAACTGCGCCACAAGAAACAGAAAAGGAAAATTTCAGACTCAAGAAACATCAGCCTAGATAAAAGCAAGGACATACATGAACAAAGAAACAGCAGAGGAAAGGACAAATATTTGGGGAAATAGAAAAAATCTTTGGTTGTGTATAATGATAATAATGCCAATATCTTGTAAGTTTTATAACATATGCAAGAGATAAATATATAAAATAATAGCACAAAATAAGGTAAGAGGACGGATGAAACTTGTAAGATTCTCACGTCTGTGAGGTTTTAAATGTACTAATACGTACATGTGTCTTCCTGTAGTAATTCTAGGAGAGCAAGTAATGAAGGGTACAGAAGGGAACAGGTAAAAGGAAAACAAAGCAGATTAAATAAAAACCCTTTATTAACCCCCGGGGAGAGGAGGGATAAAAGGAGCACATGAGACAACTGGGGAACAGGACGAGAGGCTTCAAAGCAGCTGTATGCGCAGCTCGTCAAACGTCAGCGAGGTAAACGCGACTATAAAGACTGGGTTTTAGATAAGATCCGCCCAGGTGCAGTTTATGTCGGACACATTTTATGTATAAAGACAAAGAAATGTTGAGAGTCAACGGATGTAAAAAATAAAACATGTCAACCCTAAACAAAAGCCTGGAGAGTCTGTCTCGTATCAGACAGGACGGGATGGGAAGAATCATGACAGGAAAGGAGGAATTTCTAATGATAAAGAGCCAGCTGGACAGGCATCAGTTCGTGTGCCATGAGACAGCCTCGGCAGACGCGCAGCAGAGCCCGGCGGGGCTCGGCGGGGGAGCGCGGCCCACGCCCCGGAAGGCTGCGCGTTCGGCCCGGCCAGGCGCGTACCCGGGTGGCAGGTTTGGTCCACGGCTGGGGCAAGTGCAGAGGCAGCCAATCAACGTTTCTCTCCCTCCCCCTCTCTCTCTGAAGTCAATAAGCACATCCTCAGGTAAGGATTAAAAATTTATATATATAAAGCAAAAACGAACATAACTGAAGGACATGCAGACAAACCGGCTGTCAGAGAGATGTTAACATCTCTCTCAGCCACAGAAGAGAGAGCACAGAAAAGATTAGTAAGGATATAGATGATTTATCAACTTCGCGCAATTGACATTAATAAAACGATAAAACCCAAACGTGCAGGTGCGCATTTATTTCAAATGCACCTGGAACATTCACCAAAATACACTCTATTCTGGTCCTTAAGCAAGTTACTACAAATTTCAAAAGGTTGAAGTGATACGATATATAATCTTGAACCATAATGGAACTAAACTGGACATCGACTATAGAAAATCCTCCAACTATTTGGACAGTAAGGAACACACATAGTCCACAGATGAAAGAAAAATTTATAAGAGAAAGTTGTTTAAACGTTCTGAATGAATAGTTATGAAAAACTGGCGTACCAAAACCTGTGGAGACAAACAGCTAAAGGAGTAATACGGAAATTTAGAGCTCAAGTTGCACACACTACGAGAGAAGGTAATTGAAATTAATTCCCTAACTCTCCATGTGGACAAGTGGAAAATGACATGCAAATTCAGCCCAAAAGGAGAAGAAAAATAATAGACGAGTTGAGAAATCAATAAAAAATAGAAAGCAGAGAAACCACAAATATAAACGGCAAAGCATCCAAGCTACCTTGAGCACATCTGTCACAAACAACTAGGGCCAGCTGCGGTCGAAGGTGTGGGCTTTGGAGACAGGCGGCAGGCTCCTGGATCCCACCTGTGCACGGCCCAGTGTTTAACCTTACAGATTCCTTAACCTTTCTGAGCTTCATCCATTCATAAAGGGAAAGAATGACCCTCGAGTTGCTGCAGGATTTCATTCAATGACTCATTTCAGTCACCTCAGGGAAAACTTGGCTTACGTATGTGAACCTCTCTCCCTTCCTTCCTTTCCTTTTGAAGGAAGGTGTTCACTCATCAAGCCCTCTCTAGACAGGTCCTGATCGTACAGTCAGTTCAGTCCATCCTTTCACAGGAAACTCATTAATCAAATAGACCACACAAGTCTGAACAACTCATGCAGAGTATTCTTACTGAGCTTTTCATATTTAAAAAAGGACCATAGAGCCCAGCCAGTGTGGCTCAGTGGTTGAGGGTCGACCTATGAACCAGGAGGTAAGGGTTCGATTCCTGGTCAGTGCACAGCCCAGGTTGGAGGCTCCATCCCTAGTAGGGGGCGTGCAGGAGGCAGCCCATCGATCAATGACTCTCAACCTTGACGTTTCTCTCTCTCCCCCTCTCTCTGAAATCAGTAAAAAAGGAACATTAAAAGCAATGACCACAGAGAATATTAGAGAAAAGCTACAAATGGTGACTAAAACCCTAATCTACAAAGCAGTCAGTTCTAGCCTGTTCGTTTCAATCAGTCTAAAATCAGCAGCATTGGAGCAATGACAGGCGTTCCCGCAGGGGCCGCGTTCACTCCCCACGCTGTGCGGTGCACAGCGCTGGTCAAGAGTGANACGTTCACTCCCGCAGGGGCCGCGTTCACTCCCCACGCTGTGCGGTGCACAGCGCTGGTCAAGAGTGAGCCAGGCTTAGCCTCGAAGACTCCACTTCGCCCCCACTCAGACATGCAGAGTATACATAGGTGAAAATATACCTAATTCGACTTCAACATGGTTAAGCTTTGGTCCAAGAAGAGCTGGAGTTACATCACTGCGTTCTAGAAGTGAAAAAGGAAAGTGCGTTAGCGTCATGCGGAGCTTGTCCGAGACAAACCTCTGTCCAGCTCGCTGCTGGCTCGCAGTCTGAGCCCTCGCCCTGCACTTCAGCCGAATTTCACTGCGGAAGGGCTGCAGCGGTCATCGCTTCTTGTTTCGCTTTCTGTCAACTTCAAAGCTCACACAGCTGGAGGAAGCACACTGAGTGTAGTTTTCCCTCCATTAAAATCTGGGGCTTCTGCTGAGCACAGCTGACAGCTGGGGGGGGCTCATCTGCTCATCAGGGGAGACCTGAGCCTGCAGGGCTTAGAGGCCGGGTCACTGGGAAGGGCCCTCCGTCCGCCTTCACTCCTTCACTTGCCTCCTCCACTAGACTATCCTACACTCGGGTGGGGCAGGCACGGCGCTCGGCTCGCTCTCAGCACTGCGGCCTGGACGCCCCACCTTACCCGGCCCGGCCCTGTTAGGAAGCCCACACCTTCAGGCTCTACTTCTCTTCCTCGGTGACTTCTGGCCCCAGCTGGCGGTGCACAAATGCTCTGCACCTCCAGCCCATCCAGTAATCCTTAGGAAGTAAGTCACCTCCAACAGCCAGCCGCCAAAGGCCGCACCCAACCCGGAGCAGCTAATAACTGCAGGCACTGAGGGCGGCAACGGGCCACCTGCCCCGGGACCGGGGCTCTCCCTGCCAGCACATCTGCTGTTTGGGGGGCATTTACAACGAATGCCCAGGGCAGCCTTCACGGGGCTGCCAGGCGCTCAGCAAACAGGGTGGCCGATGGTGGGCAGTAAGCGCGACTCCCGAGGGCTCCCGCAGCGCCCAGCCCGAGCTCTTGAAGCCAGAGCTGCAGCCTGGCCAGTGGACGAGGGGGGAGCTTCATGTGGGCAGGATCCCGAGAGGGAGACGAGGGGGAGCCCGGCAGGCAGGTCCTCTGAGACGCACACTCGCTGGGCGCGTCTGGAACTCCCGTGGGCAGGCAGGAGCCGGGATGGCTCCGCGAGCCCACCCTGGCCTGAGAGCTGAGGGACGGGAGCTGATTCCAGAGCCGAGGGGAAGAGGCAGTGTGTGTAATGGGGGAATTGCTACCGACGATCTTCCTCTGGATCCACTCTAAAACGCGCAGTGTGTTCCTGAGAACGCAGAGCAGCACCGGATCCGTAAGACTGGTGTCCAGTGAAGGCAGCGGAGGGAAGAAAACGGCGTCAGGGCACGTCCCGCAGGCGGTCTAGCTGGAGTCAGAATGCAGCAGCCGTCGGCAGGAGGAGAGGCCGCCAGCCCAGCCAGGAGGTGGACAGTGTGAGCGGCCGGGTGCCGGTCAGGGGAACTGGGTCAGGTGGCTGCCCACCAGGTGCAGCTGAGAGATCCACGCCCGTGACCACAGTGAACCGTGATCAAGACGCCGTGCGGAGCAGGTAGGGGCTGAGTCCCGCCGTCCTCAGCGTAGGTCACGGCCCCTCCTGGCTATTGCTGCGGCTCTAAGCGCGACATTGGGGAAGACTGATGGCAAACCACCAAATCCAGAGGAAGATGCCAGGATGGTTCAGGGTCGGGCTTGTTGAATGAGACACTTCCTTGTTGCAGGCTCAATAGCTCACTCAACAGACATGTGGGTGCGCACCTACTATGCACCAAGGGCCGGGCACCGGGGCGGGAGGGCGGAATGGGGGAGAGCTCGGTCAATCCCTTCTCTCCCGGAGCTCCTCCGTCCACTGACACACAGACACGCGGCCCCAACTCTGACAGCAATCGGGACGCAAACAGGAGGCCCGGGAACAAGGAGGAGGAGAGACATTTGAGCCGAGTCCCGAAGGACGCAGCTGGCGTCCCCAGGAAGACCAAGTAAGGTGGGCCCTTAAGGCAGAAAAGTAGCATGTGCAGCGAAGGGTGGGGAGCGAGGTGACAGGAGGCAATGACAACAGAGCTTTCCCGTCCCTGGCACCATTCTCCACGCTTCGCTCAGTCCCCCGCCCCCAAAGCAGCCCGACGAGGGAGGAACCCCACGCCTCCGTGGACCGTGAGGCGTCTGCCGTCCAAACAAGTCCTTAGCGCCCCAAGGTCACAAGCTCACGGGGCTGCTGTGAGCATCATATGATGCAACCAAAGCATCTGGCGCCGTTTCCGGCCCTTCTGAGAAGGACTGTTCGTCACCCGTCCCGGGCAGGGTAAGAGAGGAGCTGACGGGCGGAAAGCACGGCGGATGGGCTGAGCGCTGGTGGTGGAAGCATCAAGGGGCCAGAGATTTACATGAGATTAAAGAATATACGTGGAAAGTAAAAATGAAGAATTTCGGGGATATGCCGAGAATCTGATATTTGAGCTTTGGAGTTTAGTTCTGGGCTGTCGCAGCAGGATGATGGTCTCCCCAAGCTGGTCACACCCTCATCCCCAGGTCCCATGGATATTGCACCTCACATGGCAAAACTGACTGTCTGATGTGACTAAATTAAGACTTTTCAAATGAGGACGGTGTCCTGAATCACGCAGGTGGCTCAGGAGGGAGACGGGTCGGGTCGGGAAGGGTGGCGTGACTTGGGGGCAAGGTGAGAGAGCTGAAGATGCTCCACTGCTGGCGCTGAAGATGCAGAGGGCGGGAGCTAAGGGTGCAGGCGGCCCCCGACGCTGGAAGGGCAAGGAACCCACTTTCCCCAGAATCTCCAGAAGAAAGCTCTGCTCAAATCTTGATTTTAGCCCAGCGAGCCCATTTCAGACTCTATCTTTCATAACCGTTGGATATTAAGCTCCTGTTGCTTGAAGACACTGAGTTTGCGGGTTTTGCCATTCGCGATACAGGAGTACAGCCTGAAGCGGATGGTTAAAATGAGGAGGAAAGTGTTGGGGATGCCAAGCAGCTCTGGCAGCAGGTAGCCCCTGTTTTGTGGACTGAGTCATCACTGGAGTTTTGCTAGATGGCAGGAAAGAATGTTTAGGTTAAATGAGCCACCTACCTGCAAACACTCGAAGGAGCTGTCATTTTAAGAGACCAGACTTAATCTGGGGAGTCACTGAAGAGAAGCTTCATGAAAGCATAGAGGACTCAATGGGAAAACGACCGTCAGCAATCAAACATTAAAATCTGTACCCATGTGATGTGGCAATTTCCATGCTAGTTCCCAAGAAGCGACTGGGTGATCAGTCGCTGGCGGTGCCATATGAAGGACATCTTCACTGAGTGAGGCTTCATTAAATTGTCTCTAAGGTCTCCGTCACCCCGAAATCCAAGCTTTAGTTTTTCCACTATACACAGTCTGGGTTTGTGATAAACCAGACTAATAGCCTCAGCCCTCCCACCACCACGCCTGTGCCCCTTGCGGTCTCTTCTCAGAGCGCCCTGTCCCCAGCACGTCCTCCTGCGGTCCACGAGGTCAGCCCCTAAGACCCAGCTCAGACAGTGTCCTGCACCTGTTCTTACTCTGGGCTCTCTCCATGCCCTTAGCCCCTCGCACATGACTGCGGGTTCATAAACAGTTGACCCTTGAAAAATGCAGGTTTGAGCTGCATGGGCCCATTTATATGTAGACTTTTTCCAATAAATACTGTAAATATATTTCCTCTTCCTTATAATTTTCTTAATAACATTTTCCTTCTAGCTTACTTTGTTGTAAGGATACAGGACATAATGCATATAACATATAAAATATGTGCTATCAGTAAGGCTTCTGGTTAAGAGCCATCTATTAGTAGTTGAGTGTTGGGAAAACCAAAAGTTACCCGCAGGTTGTTTACTATGCCGGGTTCGGCATCCCTCACCCCTGCGTGGGTCCAGGGTCATCTGTGCCAAGGTGCCTCTGTGCGGCTTCTCACCTTTCCTGCCTGGGATCAAACGCTTCAGGAGAGCGCATCGCTCACTTTGTTTCTTAGCTCCCTGCATCCTTCCCCTCCCAGTGCTCCGCTTATTAAATACAGAGTCCTCAATAAATATTTGTTGAGTGAAAGCATATGCTTAACAATTAAAGACCCCACAGTTTATTCAAGTACCAAACAAGGGCACTGACTCATGGGAGGGTCACCTTGGTGAACTTTTAATTACTACCCAAAAGACCTTTACCCACGCGCAGTGAGTGACACCACAGCGGCTCTGACCCTTCTATCTGTGTCAGTCCCAGCTCCAACTAAGTGCCTCTGGCCTCCTGCACTGCTTTAGAAGGAAACATTCTATTTTACCAAGACACGTTTGTTCCTTCCGATTCTAAAGTATCTCTGACCTCTGACGATCGTGATGTTGTAGGTGCTGGTGACGTTAAACAGCCTCCCATCGTGATGGAGGAAGAACACGCAGGTGTAATACCCCTGATCCGCAAACTCCGCGTTCTTCTTCAGGGACGGGTTCTTGCTGTTCCCTATCGGTTCACAGTTCTGTATTTCAAAAAGCAAGTGAAAACATTTTAGGTAAAAACAACATTATATGACAACAATTCAAAACTTTAAAGATCTTTAGTGAAAAAGGAAAATCTAATGAAAACTAGCAGTCTCCGAGTAAATGTCCGTGATTCGGCCCTGCCTGGGCTGCAACAATGAAACAGTCCCACGGCTGCTACCGTCACCGTCGCTATTAATCCGTGGTGGGAAATGCGATACGGGGGACACAGGGCTGCTTTCCTGGGGTCTCTGAAACACTCTTTTACAGCCAGAGGGAGGGGGAGGGAAGGAGGG